TCATCTGACTAACTTATGGATACATGGAATGTAATAAAGATGTATGTATGTATAAGAAAGAGGAATGAGGTCACTGATAAGTATTATAGTTTCATCTGGTCCCCACATCCTGGTACTCTGTTTCTTTAAAATCCGTTTTTAATATTATCTTCCAATTAATGCAGATCTTTCCCAAATAGATGGAAGGATAATACAAGGAAAGTTCTGATGTCCTCATTTTTGTATGAGTACTAGTGGCATATCTCAAAATTCTGTTGCAAAAATAATCTTCACATCTGTGTTAATAACCTACATTTCATCACATCCACCGACATTACAGTGCTTGTTTTGTGACAAACATCTCTTTAGCATCAAAGAGTGAACAACTGGGCATCGGTTTATTCGTAACTGGATTATTCGTATTAGAAAAAAACATTGTAAAGTTTAACATCATGTAATGTTGGAACTGTTTCTCCAAAGTTTGTTGTTTGTGTTCAGATGAAGGTACACCCAGCCGCATTCCAATTCATCGGCGTGTTACACCTAGCAGTCGCACTGCTGGCAGTGGATCTGGTACCACCACACCCACGCGCAAACTTACAGTGCCTGTTAATGGAACAACTCCCAGTTCACGTCCACGCACTCCAACAGGACTTACCAGTCCAGCTAGTGGAGTATACACCAGGTAATGCAACATTCATTTCATTATGCAATTTATGAATTTGTGGTAGTTTTTGTTAGTATTTGCTTAAAGTTAAAATAGTCATTGGGTTATAAGACAACCATGGAGTGTAAATGCTGTCACTTTTATATGAACCTTCCCTTTAGTACAATAAATGTAGAGCTTATATTTCAACAGAACTGTCTGAATCTACTTTCTGCTTTTAAAGTAAAAGTATCACTTCCAGAGGCAACAAAAATGTTTTAAACTCTACCTTACCATCAATTATTACAGTCACTTTCATATTCCTTAATAAAACAATAGTGTGATCTTACTTACAAAAGAGCTGCCAAATAAATATATGTATAAAGATGAAGTATTAAAGAAATATTCCAGAGGTAGTGTCTGTCAGTGAGCAAGTGATCACTAGTTCCATCTAGCAAGAATAAGTAAAAATTATTGTTAGAAATGAAAACTTACTTATGGTGATATATTTACTACAAAATTTCAAAAACCATCTTTATTCAGTTTAACAAGGGAGTGATTATATGAGAAGTACATAATCAATAAAAGCTCAGGAAACAGTCTTTCGTTGCTTCCATGGTAACCAGCAAAAGCCTTCAGCCCTTTTTCACTACTTTCTCAGTATTACTATTTGTTGGCATGCTACCGCCTGGATAAGATATGAAGTAAAGAAAAGCATGGCATTGTTTTTGCATTTGCTTCATACTAACCCAGAATGTGTTGTGAATGATTTATTTAAATAGTGTCAAGTTAAAGTAATCAGTCTAATTATATTGATAACCTATGCAGTAAGATGATATTTATTTATAGACTTTTGTAATTATGGTTGTATTCTTCAGTAGCAACTCCAGTAATATTAATGTTTGATTCACAAACCCAGTTTTGTTATGCAAACATTTTTTAACCTGATTAATGATGTTCACATGTATTGTGGAATGGTTCTCGTAATACATGTGGTAAATGAATCTGTAATATTAATTAATTATGATGCCACTTAAACATACCAATACCTCACCTTAATTGTAAGTTAAAGGACTGAACATAATTAAGGATAATAAGATTAAAAAGTATACTCTTTGGAGTAGACCAACATTCCAAAGATGTTCTTAAGGCACATTGCGTAGGTTGTTTTTGTTGCAGTGATGTGATCTGAGGTCAGTGGGACTAAATGATATTGAAAGTAACTTCCTGTGACTGAATGAAATGGAAAGGAGACTAAGTGTGGATTGGCCTAAGAGACATAGATTTGTGGAGGGTGTGTTATTCATAATGTCATCCTCAAACATAAGCATTAAGAAACATTTAAAAGTACAGTACTAGATTATCCTTTTTTTTAAAAAAAATGGAGCGATGAGTTCCTGAAATTTTCCCAAGGCACCAGACTTAATACTTCTGACTGACTGTATTTCATTGTGATGGTTTCAATCAATATATTAGCAAGAGATATTATAATTTCAATAATTATTTTAATGTCCACTTAATCTGGATTAAGGATTTTAAATACTGCACTCTTAATATATTTTGCAAATGCTGAAAGTTATCAGACAAGAAATCCTGAAAATAAATTATGACACTTAATTTCCTTCAAATGTTTGAGTCTATATGATGGGCTTTCAGTAATTATAAATTAACAATGTACAATTTAATTGTTAATTTCTTCAAATGGTTTCCACTATTACAGATTCCCACTGTGTTAAATTTGACAGATGTAACATCAAAATTGTGCATTGTCACCATGTTAGTGAGTGTTGATGTATGAAACTTGTTTCTTTCAGAATTTGTAGGCATGTTTATGCTCCTTTTCGATGCAGAATTTCACAAGCTTTACTCAGTGGTTCATTAGTTATCACCATGAGAGAGTTAAATATAGACTTTACATAGCAACCATATTGTTATTTTATCGCTGCAAAAAGATTGCTTAACAAAGGTTGTGTATTTTCCGAGCTCTATTACAACACAAAATGTCAGGACCTACACTTCATGAATGCTTATGGCCACCATGTTGGTACTGAATTGATTTGAAAGTCCCTGTTAATCTGTAAGAACAACAGATGTTGGAAATGGGAAGCAATTCAGTAGTCCCTGTGTGCACACCCACACTAAATAGTTTACGTGGCTTGTGTGTTACTTGTGACTTCTACCCTCCTTCAGTCAGTTCTGCCATGGATAATCTGGACACAGAGGCTAGAGGGAAAATCCTCTGCCCTGTTGTGGATCGAACCCCAGTCGTCTAGTCCATTGTCAGTCATTGTACTGACTGAGCTAACCCTGCTCTTCATGAGAAATATATTTGAGATGTATGAGGTGAAGCTTTCACAGCGACTGAAGTTGATGAAAGATTCTTGGACTACAAGCCACATCAGGTGGCTTGTAGCCCGAGAATATTTCATCAAATATGCTTGTGTTCTTACAGGTGCACAGGGAATTTTGAATCATTCCATAGTATTGGTTGAAGAGAAAAGTACAATGGTTTCATGCTTTCATATGGCATGATGATCAATTTACAAGGAAATACATGAGTTGTTTCGGAAGTTATTAGGGAATACAAACTTACAGATGTATGAACATGTGGACATGATATTATAAGTCTAAGTTTCATTACAAAATAAAGAAAGCAGACTAAAAATTTAGCTACAAAGTCTGAGAGCACATTTCACATGTTACTATTCGGCAATTTATTTGACTGATAAAGAGGTAACTCTTCCAGCATCATTTTATATCATGTTAGTCACAGAAGTATTATGCCTCTGTGCAGTAATGTGTTCTTAGGTGAGTACTTTTGTGACATATCTTTAAATAATTTACCCAGTGGAAACAAAGATTGAAGATACAGGTCTAGATATGCTGATGGTAATTTTGTGATTAATTTTCTCATATGCCAAGGATAGGAATATCTGTAACATATTGAAAACAATGAGGTAAAAGGTACAGGGTTAATTGTGATTAACAAAAAGCAGCCATAAGTTATCCCATGTAATTTATTGTCATTTCAAACCAGATGACAATAAGGTGATTCTGCACTTCTTCTGCAAATAACTAACTCCAGCATAACATGCAATGACATAACAGCTGTGTATATAACATATTTAATATTCTGCATCTATAGAAAGTATCATTCCAATATCTCACCCATACTAGCCATCATATGAGGATATTTTGTTATCGTTAATGTTATTTCAAATTACATAATGAAATTGCTTTTCAAATACTGGGAGGTGTTCCCATTAAGCCATGTGTGATACACTGTTTGAATTAATGATGGCCATGTATATTTCAAAACTTCCCCCTCTTAGTTTTCCAAAAATGGGTTCCAGTAAGCTGTGATGAAAAAAACACCATTTTGAGTGTTTAAACTTTAACTTTAACCATAATAATGTAGTGATGATGAAGAAGCCACACAAGGAATGTAAATGGCTAATTGAACCACAACTAATTATACATCTAATCTCAATAATATTATAATTATACTACACATTTATTTTAGGTTAGGAACGATTCATCGAGCTTCAAGTATTCCAACGCTCTCTGGTGTTGGCACTAGGTAAATACACTAAAAACTAATAAATCACATGGCTTGTGGTGGTGGTGGTGGTGGAGCTTATTGGAGTTAATTAGGAACTGGTACTGTTGGTGTAATGATTGTAATGCTCTCATAGTATGAGATTTATATGATGAATGCATTCTTGGTTTATGAATGGTGCTTCTTAAAGCGTTGTACAGTGAAATAATTTATTTATAAATGTTTTAAAGTGAAGAATGCAGAATGAATATTTAAATGATTTTAGACTAGTCTGAGTAAGAATGAAATTTTGTGCTTGTAATCCAACTTCAGTTTTTCTCGGGATTTTTTGTATAGTTAAATAATTTAAAAATAATGTCTCTTTCTTTGCTACTGTACATGCTTTACAAAACTGACATTTGCCATTCTCTATCAACACACTTCATGTCACTGCAATAAAATAAAAAACTGTTGGCTGTTGACAATTTCTTAAGCATACCAGAATGATTGTGTAAGAAGCTATTGCAAGAATGAGTTTGTTACATGCAGTTTGTGTCAAATGGAAAATTTAACTTCATACAAATGGGCACTGTTGAAGGTATAAGCTTATCAGGCATATAGTTTTCTATAAATGTTGGATAAGCCATATTCTAAAATGAAGATAATTGTATTAATCAATGGCCAAAGACATAGTATGAGAGCAAAAATTCTGTTACTAGATTCGGAAGTGTTTGAGACTGCGTTAGAAAAAGAGAGCATTTTCCTGTTCTGGTAAAATTATCCCATGTCTTTGATGCAATCAAGGAACAGGACATGAATAAAGGTATAATTCCATGAATTCTCAGCCTTGAGACTAGATGGGAATGAGTGATTAACGTGACATTTTCTAGCTACCTAAACTAAGGGAAATAGTACTCGGAATGCCTATTGGATGGCCTCCAGATGTGTTTTAGATATGGAAGCAAGAATGAATTGCCTTTGCAGAGAATTGGACCTTAGCTTGCCACTTTAATGACTCAGATATTGTGGCGGTTTTTATGATCATTGGTTGAATTTCATAATCGTCCTTTAGAGCCACGTAATGTGTGATATCATGTTTACAAACTTACCTGTTTTCTTTCCTTCCTGATGTCAGCCGCTCAAGGATACCAGTATTTGTGGGTTCGAGTTCCATTGAATCACAGCTCTCTTCTTGTTCTTCTTCTGGGTAATGCTTGATGTCTCTCTTTTGTGTTGTTCTTCTGTGTTTGTGAATGTTAGTTGTAAAGTAACATTATGTGAGGCTCCAAGTTTACTGCAGTCTGGACAGATTCTGTTGGTGTGAAGGGCTTATGCATTTTGAATTATAACCTTTAATTTTAATTTATTTATTTCATGTGTAAATGAAACTCATTCTGTTTGTTATTTCATGTCATTTTTCAATGATATAAACATCTTTAAATCTTTCATATGAAATCCATACTGGTCTAAGTAACCGCACAAAGTAAATATTGTGAAGTTTTCCCAATAATAATGTCACTTGAAAATAATATATTGGACATTTTACAATCAAAATAATAGTTTTCAAATTCTTTTTATGAAAGTACTAAGCATTAGAGTGAATTTGATCAATGTATATCAGAAAATTAAGGTATTCTTGTAATGGAAAGCAATGAAAGTAGTTCTTACAACAGAAACCCAAATGGAGAATGTTTGTGTTTTGATGTTGAGTAAGCATGTATACACATGTTAACAAGTCATGCTCAGAAGTTGTTCTAATAAATTCTGGTTATTAGAACTGTTGACAGCTATCATGCAATTATAATTTTAAATTACAGGGGCATGTACTATATATACTCTATGAAGGTAGGGTGACCAGATTCCCATTTTTAATGCTATTTTAAAGAGTCTTCTTGCCATGGAAAATTACAATGTGGATTAACTATTCCATTGAATGTGGGAATGCCTATTAGGTTTGCTATCTTGACATCATGTGCTAATACTACCCTGGACTAACATGAAATGTTGAGAAATCTCGTGAAAATATCTACAAAGACTGATGAAATTCAACTTTATTTCAAATTGAATAAATAGCATTGCATAGACATATAAATGTCTGAGCCTCAAAAAAAATTAACAGACAAAATTTTGCATTTCAGTAAGTTAGTTATATTTCGTGGATGATGTGTTGGTAATATAAGCAATATAAAAAAGTGTATCCACCAAGCATGTTACTAATCATGAATTCTGACCTGCAATGACTTCAAGTATTCCAACGCTCTCTGGTGTTGGCACTAGGTAAATACACTAAAAACTAATAAATCACATGGCTTGTGGTGGTGGTGGTGGTGGAGCTTATTGGAGTTAATTAGGAACTGGTACTGTTGGTGTAATGATTGTAATGCTCTCATAGTATGAGATTTATATGATGAATGCATTCTTGGTTTATGAATGGTGCTTCTTAAAGCGTTGTACAGTGAAATAATTTATTTATAAATGTTTTAAAGTGAAGAATGCAGAATGAATATTTAAATGATTTTAGACTAGTCTGAGTAAGAATGAAATTTTGTGCTTGTAATCCAACTTCAGTTTTTCTCGGGATTTTTTGTATAGTTAAATAATTTAAAAATAATGTCTCTTTCTTTGCTACTGTACATGCTTTACAAAACTGACATTTGCCATTCTCTATCAACACACTTCATGTCACTGCAATAAAATAAAAAACTGTTGGCTGTTGACAATTTCTTAAGCATACCAGAATGATTGTGTAAGAAGCTATTGCAAGAATGAGTTTGTTACATGCAGTTTGTGTCAAATGGAAAATTTAACTTCATACAAATGGGCACTGTTGAAGGTATAAGCTTATCAGGCATATAGTTTTCTATAAATGTTGGATAAGCCATATTCTAAAATGAAGATAATTGTATTAATCAATGGCCAAAGACATAGTATGAGAGCAAAAATTCTGTTACTAGATTCGGAAGTGTTTGAGACTGCGTTAGAAAAAGAGAGCATTTTCCTGTTCTGGTAAAATTATCCCATGTCTTTGATGCAATCAAGGAACAGGACATGAATAAAGGTATAATTCCATGAATTCTCAGCCTTGAGACTAGATGGGAATGAGTGATTAACGTGACATTTTCTAGCTACCTAAACTAAGGGAAATAGTACTCGGAATGCCTATTGGATGGCCTCCAGATGTGTTTTAGATATGGAAGCAAGAATGAATTGCCTTTGCAGAGAATTGGACCTTAGCTTGCCACTTTAATGACTCAGATATTGTGGCGGTTTTTATGATCATTGGTTGAATTTCATAATCGTCCTTTAGAGCCACGTAATGTGTGATATCATGTTTACAAACTTACCTGTTTTCTTTCCTTCCTGATGTCAGCCGCTCAAGGATACCAGTATTTGTGGGTTCGAGTTCCATTGAATCACAGCTCTCTTCTTGTTCTTCTTCTGGGTAATGCTTGATGTCTCTCTTTTGTGTTGTTCTTCTGTGTTTGTGAATGTTAGTTGTAAAGTAACATTATGTGAGGCTCCAAGTTTACTGCAGTCTGGACAGATTCTGTTGGTGTGAAGGGCTTATGCATTTTGAATTATAACCTTTAATTTTAATTTATTTATTTCATGTGTAAATGAAACTCATTCTGTTTGTTATTTCATGTCATTTTTCAATGATATAAACATCTTTAAATCTTTCATATGAAATCCATACTGGTCTAAGTAACCGCACAAAGTAAATATTGTGAAGTTTTCCCAATAATAATGTCACTTGAAAATAATATATTGGACATTTTACAATCAAAATAATAGTTTTCAAATTCTTTTTATGAAAGTACTAAGCATTAGAGTGAATTTGATCAATGTATATCAGAAAATTAAGGTATTCTTGTAATGGAAAGCAATGAAAGTAGTTCTTACAACAGAAACCCAAATGGAGAATGTTTGTGTTTTGATGTTGAGTAAGCATGTATACACATGTTAACAAGTCATGCTCAGAAGTTGTTCTAATAAATTCTGGTTATTAGAACTGTTGACAGCTATCATGCAATTATAATTTTAAATTACAGGGGCATGTACTATATATACTCTATGAAGGTAGGGTGACCAGATTCCCATTTTTAATGCTATTTTAAAGAGTCTTCTTGCCATGGAAAATTACAATGTGGATTAACTATTCCATTGAATGTGGGAATGCCTATTAGGTTTGCTATCTTGACATCATGTGCTAATACTACCCTGGACTAACATGAAATGTTGAGAAATCTCGTGAAAATATCTACAAAGACTGATGAAATTCAACTTTATTTCAAATTGAATAAATAGCATTGCATAGACATATAAATGTCTGAGCCTCAAAAAAAATTAACAGACAAAATTTTGCATTTCAGTAAGTTAGTTATATTTCGTGGATGATGTGTTGGTAATATAAGCAATATAAAAAAGTGTATCCACCAAGCATGTTACTAATCATGAATTCTGACCTGCAATGACTGCTGCAGAATATAGGAACTCAGCTTATAGAGACTTGCCAATCTGTCTGTTGTTACTCCTGAACTGTTACAAGAAAAATGTATTTAAGGGTAATAAAAGTTATGTATATTTTGTACTC